TTGTATTCTCTAATTCGATCAACAATTTGAAGAAAGGAGTGAGATTATCGCCATACATGATAAAATTAATTCGTTTCTTGAAATCGGTCAGCCCATCCTTAATGTCGTGGATATCACGACAAAACGCAAACTGAAGTTGCGATTTGAGTAAGACCAAAGAATGGAAGAAGAATGAAACGACGACAGTTTCATACGATGGCGATGAGCTTATTGTAAGAGAGAAATATCAAACACAAGAGGTACACTTCATTTCCAGAACGTGGCCAGTCGATGGCCCAATCGAAAGAATCAAGCTCGAGCGCATTCGAGATCGACTGTCATGCCAACGAAAATCTTACGGGTTTATTTACGCTTTATTTGACCACCCGAATGCACCCCATCTGAAATAACTCACTACTGTGAAGCACATATGCAGTAAAAAGTCATTTGTGCATGGCTGCCGCTGTGAAGCTGTACTAATTCATCTGATTGTTGACGAATCCAGTGGAGTTTGATGCTCAAAGATGAAACGTTTTGATTTTAAGCAGACGGAGATAATGGGCAAACGCGAAGTATGTGGGAAATATTATCGTTCTTGTACATGCTATTTGTTCCACTGAGAGTGAGTTTGCCTAATGTTGACTGCTCCATCTAAACTTGTGCTTTCGTCATACGCGCATTTACTTGTATTTCTCCAATTCGATCAGCAATTTCAATCAAATAGCGAGGTTATCGCCACACGTGATATAATCAATTCGTTCATTGAAATCGGTCAGCCTATCGTGAATGTCGTGGAAATCACGACAAAAGGCAAACTGAAATTGCGATTCGAGTAAGACCAAAGAATGGAAGAAGAATGAAACGACGACAGTTTGATATAACATGGCGAAATGTTCTAATTTACACAGCGTTTATTTTGATATTGCGATAGGCTGCGTTTGCTACGGTCTATTTGACTAATAGGATGCATTCGTCTTGGAATAAGTAATTAATCGAAAGCACAGGTGCAGTAGAGATTCATTTGTGCACACTTGCTGTCGTGAAGCATCTCTGCTTTCTGCGATTATAGTTGAAACGAAATGGTTTGGTTTAAAAAGCGTTTATCTTAAGAATGCGATAGTCAGTAGAGTGATGTTTCGAGAACACGTGGAGAAGTGGAGGTTTCTTGCAAGGAACCGCAATTCGGCAAATAATGCATTAGCCAAACGGAATTGAGTGATTCCTGTTGGGTAAAGTCACTGCTGGATATTATTATCGCGTTGATTACTGCTTGTCAAGCCAGTAGCTATTGCGATTTAAGCAGCAACCCCTGCAGTTGATTTTTCTTTCCGAGTTTGATTGAGAGGATCTTTAACGTTAGCATTTTGAGCAAAGAAGAATAAGCCATTCATGAAGAGCAAAGCACATGAATTATAAGAAATTCTGTTGATATTTCAGGAATGAGACCGATCGCCTAAATTTATCGTCCACTGCTGAGCGTATGTATCCTGAATAAATTGATGAATGAGCGACAATTACTGAGATTGTCAGAAAATTTGTCGTCATTTATTGTTTTAAAAAGTTGTTGATTTCTAAGATAATTGTGACCGTTCCAGACTAAATTTATGCAATCCTTTCTGGCGAACCTTTTGCGGTTCTCCTCTTTGGTTACTTCTTTATTCAAGATTCGCTTAATATCATTTTTGCGCTATCGGTGTTTGTTGATCATAATTCCATTTCATTGCTGTAACTGAATAAATTCACGTTTGGCTGATATCTATTCGCAACAAACAATTTTATGTTGCTAACATATCATTGAACGTAATTACCACCCTTAAGAGCGTATTCGGACAGACTAATAACATGTGAACATGGCAGCTTCTTGAGTGATTATTGTCAGGTCATTCGAATTGAGTGATCAATTCTTTAGTGATGAACACTAAAGATCTAGCAGTCGATTATTGATAAGGTATGATGACCTGGTGATCGTATAATTTATTCCTTATTCATGCATTACAACAATATGAAAAATCATCAGACTCAGATCGGAAAAGGTGAAGATATTGAATCTCATTAAAAATTCACAAAAAATTTAAAAATTCACAAAACGAAGTCATGATGAGCATTTATTTGACTGCGACTCCGATTTCCGTACAGCAATTGTTCTATTTTAAAGGAATGAGCTATCCCTGTTTACAGATCAGCGTATGCGATTTCGTTCGTTATGGCCTCTTTCTAATATGGCGAGTCAACAGCTGAACTATTTCAAAAACTGTTCATGTCATCTATAATCAAAATTTGCGCAGTTTGATCCCTATACAACTACAACGAACTCAATCCTTATTGATTATGCACGCATCCAAAGGAATACATTGTGTGCACATTTATTGAACTCACTTAATGTGTCCGTCGCCTGGTTAAATCTTTGTCAATGCTAATCGACAGTCCTTTAGCAAGCAGTCATCATTCGTCCAAAAACCCAAAATTGGTGCTAAAGAAAATCTTTGGAAGTATCGCGCAATTTCTCCCACATGATGAAAACACCAGCAACGACATCAATATGAATAATGCAGCTACAAATCAACAGTACATCTATTCACGCCAATATCAATAATAACAATACGCCTTCCGAAAAACGGCGTTCTTCTAAATCTAGAGGTCCCGCTGGATCGAATGGTACAAAGAAATTCATAT